TCAACTTAACATTGGCGTCACGCAATCTCCTAAAAACGTCCTCCAAATGGTCTAAATGCTCATCAACAGACTTAGAGAGAATGATTATATCATCAATGTAAATCAAAGCAAAGCGGTATTCTAAGCCTCTCAGAATATGACCCATAAGTCTTTGAAAACTGGCTCCTGAATTCACTAATCCAAACGGCATTGTGAGAAATTCATAAAGGCCATTGTGTGTAGAAAAGGCTGTCTTCTGTTGCGAATCCTTCTGCATTTGTATTTGCCAAAAACCACTTTTTAGATCCAACACGGAAAACACGCTTGCACCAGCTAAAGAATCTAGCGCATCAGCAACTAAAGGCATTGTAAAGCTATCTACTTTAGTGACTTTATTAACTTTACGCAAATGTAACACAAAATCTAAATGACCCATCCTTCTTTTTTACCAAAACAACTGGAGAGCTCCAAGGAGAGACAGACACTTGAACTATTCCTTTTTCAAGCATTTCTTCCACCTGACGGTCAATCTCTTTCTTAACATCAGGAGATACTCTATGCGGCCTTTGCTTAATAGGCGTAGCATCACCAGTATCAATGACATGCTGTACAAGGGATGTTCTGCCCAACTGATCCCCAGGAAAAGCAAAAACATTACGATATTTATTAAACAAATTCTTAAATTTTACTTTCTCGTCATTATTCAAAATACTATTCGACAAATCAGGAAACTCTGAATAATCTTTTGGCTGTTGCAGATCATCTGAAGAATTATGTTGAGCATCCGAAGAAGGTGAATTTTTGCCAATCTCAAATGTTGCTACGTCATTGTCAACACGCTCAAAATCTGCCAATTTAGTCCTACGAAAAATTTTAACTGGTTGAGCGGAAGGGTTTACCATCCTAACAGGAATAGTTACATCATTAGAAACCTTTACTAGCTCTGACGCTCCAAAAACTGAGTAACGGTGAGGCAAATCAGACTTAAGCGTGACCAATCCATAAATTTCACTGGCACTTGTGTTTACACCTTTCGGCATTGAGCTTAATCTCCCAAGGACAACGACTTCTGATTGAGCGGGAATAGTAAAAGAATTATCAGCATGCACTGACAAAATACATTGATCAAAACCTTCAGCATCCAAATCATCACCAAAACTATCAGCAAAGGGGAGGGGATCCTCGGGGTGGGAAAATTCAATGACGTTGCCCATAAAATCAATTCTCGAACAATATTTTTGAAGAAAATCTCTGCCCAAAACAACGTCATATGTTAAATCTTTGATAACATAGGCTTCAAAAGGAAAAACATCAGACTTGATAACAAAATTGAGCCATACTTTACCAAGAACGCTAAGAGGAGAACCACTTACAGTAGTTACACAACTGATCGACAAGGAATCTAAACAACAATTTTTGTGACTAAGATACTTGTCCCAAACTTGAGAACTAATTGCTGTTACAGCTGCTCCTGTGTCAACGAGTGCATGATAACTATTTCCTTCTATTGTTACACTTACATTAAAATTGTCCCTCTGGAAAGGATGAATAGAATCAATTTTTCTGGATGTGGCAGGCAAAGAAGCCCTGTCAGTAACATCAGTCACATATGCCCTTGTCTCAGGGCTACAAATACTATTTTTAGCCCCAACGATATTTACTTCTAAATTTCCTTCATTTTTAGACTCAGGCACCAACTGTTCATCTTTTTTAATTTCTTTTTTACGGACTTGTCGAGATAAATTTTCACTTGAAGACTTCTCATAAATAACTTCACTTTTAGGAGAAAACATAGGTACATTTGGCGAATGAGCATTTTCGTTTTCATTTGGCGATGACCCGGCGATTACACCATCAAATTTTGTTATGACCTGAGAAAGACACTTAATAACTCCAAACAAAATATTTTCATTAGGGACATCTTGAACTTGGCAATCTTGAGAACACTCATGTTGGCATGTGACGGAAACTTGAGGTTTAAACATTTTAGACTTTGGCGTAACAATAGGCTCACAGGGATTAGACACAATATGGCTAAACTCTTGAACATTCTCTTTAGTAACATTCTCGGCCGAATTTCCAGAGTTACTGAAAGCACATTTATCAGAACTAGATCCGACGGAAGAATGGTTATTACTTGTAGAATTTTCAAGCGCCCCCATCACGGGTTCACTACCACACACGATAGGGGCGCCAGCCAGTTTAACTGAGCGCCCATTTTTCCCTGGTGAAAAGCATTCTTCATATTGTTTTTCCGATACAGGCCTCTAAAGTTGGGTTTCGAACTTCCATAACTGCCCAATTTAGGATTCTTTCTGAAAACGCTGCCCCCATAACGAAAACGATTAAGTTTGCCCGAACGAAATTTGCGATTAATACGACGATTCCCATTATTTTGGACATCTGTACTCCAAACATTAGATTCTTTCCCGACAGACTGTTTGACTTCCTCTTCTGAGGGGTTAGACTGTAATTCTTCAAAATTCTCGACTTCTTGACCATTATTCGATTTACGGCTAAGAGTTACCAACTCTTTTAGTTTTGCAATGTTCAACGCAGACTCGAAATCAGGCGGTTGTTGTAAAATAACATGTTCACGTATTTCAGGCCTTAAACCACGTACAAAACAATAAAGCCATTCACTTTTAGGTAAATTTAGACGAGAGCAGAATGAAAGAATATCGTAATAATAATCGGCAACAGTCTCCCCTAACAACTGACGACGTTCTTCTAACTTTTGCCTCAACTGCCATAGAGTTACTTTTGATTCAAAATGAGAAATTAATTTTTGTGACAATTCTTCAAAAGTCAAATTTTCTGAACCTGATAAAGTTTTAAACCATACGCTAGCGTGTTTTTTTAGAAAAAGGGGAAGACCAAGCGCTAATTTTTCTTCGTCCCAACCATTTAACAAACCAGCGCGTCTATAATTGCCAAGAAACTCACGAACGTCTTCTCTCTCGTCGCCATAAAATAGTGGAAACTCAACAACGGGCCTATTCATTACTTAAAAACGAAACTTTGGCATTATTTTGTTTTAAATATAACTCTTATTCTACATATGACTAAACTTGGAAAAGAGTTCTCAGTTGCTTGCAATGGTAAAGTTCTTAGCACTTACAGATTTCCAGGGGCTGATCTTGTACTCTTCGCTTGTTCTCACCAAAATATCAGCTTCTTCACCAAAATATCGAGTTCTCCACCAAAATAACGGGTTCTCCACCAAAATATGTGGGGGTGTGTTCGAGCAACTCGCTCGCTACACGACGAGGTACCAGGAATCTGATTTACATCTTGGCCTTTATTCTTAATCTTCTTACAACTTCTGCTTACTCTACTTCTGCTCTACTTTTCCTACTCTTCTCTAACTTCTAGTTCAAGTATAGTAGCGGTTTTAATAGCCAAAGCTGGACATGTTTGGGTTAGCTCGCCGGAAGAGTTTCTATTGTATTTCTTATTGCTAACATTGCAACAGGTTGGGTATTGTCAGGGAATAGACTAGCCTACGCACAGCCGCAACTGATAAGTACCAAATAACGAAGGTCAGTTCTAACACCACAAACACGACCACCTGTAACATTCCTAATATGGCAATAAGTAAATTCGCGAGCTAAGCATAACTTTAAGTACAAGTAAAACAAAAGATCAAAACAGGAAAACAGTACGTAGACAAAAACAAGACTTAATGAAACAAAAACTAAACTTAAAATACAAGGTAAATCCGTCTTAAAAATTACTTTCAAAATACTTCACAACATGTGGAATACAAGTTTACTGTTTGATTTAAATCATAAATTCGAGTTAATAGGAGCTTCGCTTTTAGCCCTGGCTAAATCTCTATATTAGTTCATACGCAGGCGCTGAAGCCCTTATCTTTTCATGTTTGCGCTTAGAAAGATCAGATTTCTCGGAAAGAACATCAAACTCGTAGTTTAGTGGGTCTATGCCGGGCAGCCTCAAGATCTAAAACTAAATTGCTATCGAGAGCAAGGGCTCTGGGATTAGCGTTGAATAGTAGCGAAAAATGTCAAATGTGCAAATTCCATAATGTTTCAGCGAATTATGTTCATCGAGCATTGCTATGCTCGCTACCGTTACCGAGATCTTGCCTGTACCAGATTCCTTCATTAGTTATTAGAGATAATTTATGGGTATAAAGTCGTCGTGGTTGCTTAAGCTCCCTAATAACTCGCTCCCACGTTCCATATATTAAAATTCTAACAGCATTACGAGGTTTTCTGGTCATTTTTCATTCTATATTTGGTTTGGTTTTCTTTGTCTTCAAGTCTCTTCTGGGAATTGCGAGACGGTGGAGTCGTAAAAACTTTGAAATTTTGACCCTAAAACCTCGTAGTCATGTTAGAATTTTAATATATCGGAAGTGGGTTATTAAAAATGCGCAGAGGCTTAACAAATACATTGATAATACACATACTAAATAATGTAAAATTGGTTCACAATTATACATCTATATATACAAAACAGAAAAAAGAAGTTAAAAGAATTTGTCAAGTTTCCAGTTCACATTACCAAGTTCTCCTTGACAATTCTTCCGTTGCGTTTGAAGATTTCGGGAGTAATATTAACGTCTTAAGCATTTAGAAACTCTGCTGAATACAGATAAATGGAAATTGTGTATCAAAAAGGCTGCCAACCTTATTTCAAAAATGAAGCCTTGATCGTTAATAAACCTCTAATTAACTCTTCGTCAACTCTGATAGACCAAACTCCTTTACCCGGCCACGATGTCTGCTGTCTGTAAGATTCCTCTAGCCTTTTTGGTACCAGAAACGACTCTCATTATGAATTAAGAGACCTTAATAACTATCCGTCAAAGCAGAGTTACCGTTTTTATTAATATAGAAGATTACGTGCAAAAGTAAACTAAGTAGGCAACAGCTTGTACAATTGCCATTCTGATTTATTTATCTGCTGGAATGTATTCAACATACAGCTACAAATTACGATCTAGATATTTAAAAAGCAAAACAAAACAGAACAGCAACAACAACGACAGCAACCTACGATTACAATGTACTGACAAATTAAGAGAATTACACCCAAAACATCACTAGAATAAAGTGCTTGTGATAATGAAACTCAGATTGCCCTATGTATATGGTTATGTATGTACCGGAATCTAAGACATTTTTGCTTGTGGAATCTGAAATCATGTCAGGGCTTTGGGATTCCAGAAACAGTTTTAGGAAATCGGATTCCCGCAAGCGATTAAAATCTGGAATCCAATCTCCACTGATCAGCCGAGGCTGATCACACCTACTTCGGTCTTTGCGGATATCACAAAAACGTCACTGATCCAATAACTGGCTATAAGTAGCATAATATAAGAGATTTTTAAGGATTCGTGACGAATTCGGAACACTTTCTTGGTAGCAGACTTGTTGCTTACATTTCCCGGTTTAGTCGCGTGTTCGCAGAACTTGATTTCGGCTTGAGTGAGTACTGGATTAATTGATGTGCGTGACGTCTGAAAATCCGAATAGCCTAAATGTAATAAATCCGGCCGGAAACATTTAAGAATCCGATGGGAAAATCTTCGCTAATGTAAAACTACCGTTGATGTATTTTACAAGAGTGCTTAATACTTGATTGTTTGTTTGTTTTTTTGATAATAATTACCCTCCAGCCACGAACTTGGGGCCCGTTTCTCGAAAGTCCTGTTACGTAAAAAAAGGCAGCAAATTAAACTATTCACTAGTTTGACATAAAGTAATAGGCGCTTTCAGTGCAGTTGGATACCACTTCATTAGCAACAGCTCGCTTAATGGCAAGCAGCCCAAGCGTTCATTCCGATCACAAAGCTTTGAGTGTGATCGAGAGGAGCAATCCTGGTTTAATTATTCTGTTGAAAATTAACCGAGAACACGTAGGAAGACTTCGTCCTATCGCACTCAAAGCTTTGTAATGTAGTTAACGTAAATGAACGCTTGAATGGCTTACCGACTTGCCATGCAACGAGCCGTTGCTAAGTGGCATTCAAGCACGCCACCAAGTTCTGTTCTAATTACTTGGTCTCATTGTCATGGCCGTTAAAACGGTTAGTTTCTTGACTTTTCTAGTAAAAACCGTATACATCGATACATGACTTGTTCAATAGGTTGTTTTCCTCGTCCTTATTTATCAAATCTTCACCGTACCAGATTCTGAACTCCTGTCCAGTATGAACCCAGATTGCGGAGGAAAAAAACCTGAACTCGATTGCACTGGAGTTATAATGAAATCCAGGCAGCGTGTAAAATAGATGTGGATCAAAACCGGGTGACGTCTCCGATTCATTTGTAGGAAAAAGGCGGAAGTTGTTGGAATTGGTGATGTGTGTATTTAAACGAGAGGTGCATCCCCACTTCGTAGCACTGTTCAAACCAGCGACGCAAGACACACCGCCTGATAGATGAGCTAGTTTAAACGCAAAAATATTTCCCGTCTTTTGAATATTGAAGGTACCGTAGGAATCGTTTTTGGCTCCAAAGCACACTTCCTCTGTGTTTATCTTGAACCACCCTGAAACCGGAAAGAAAGGGACAACGACGCATTACATTCACAATATTATCGGTGACGAATTACTCCTTAATTTTGGCGCGAAATTTTAAACAATTATTGGATGAGATTTTGGTGATATCCGGAATAATCAAGGTCGAGGTAAGTGTTATTAGCCGAAGCCGAAGGCTGAGGCTGATAACACTAACCTCGACCTTGATTATTCCGGATATCACAAAAACCGAATCTAATAATTGTTTCATTATACTTTATCTTCAAGTAATTTCTCAATTTCTTCCTTGGTCGATGAAGCGAATCGAGAAGCCACTCTTACTTCGCTGTCCGCGAAGTTGACATTACTGTCCATGCACTTGATATTGCTCTTGGAAATCATGAATTGCGCGCGCAACCTATAGATTATTCACTAAGCTGTACCTACAGATTAGTGAATAATCTGTGAATAATCTGTAGGTTTCGCTGTTTCCCAGAATTAACTGTAGGCTTTTAGCCGATGGGAAGACAGATGGTGACTACAATGTATAATAACAGTGATAATTTGTAATTTTACATGTGAAATTACAAAATTGCCATGGCAACCTTCCGTACGTCGAAGTGTGTGCGACGAAGCTTTAAAATGTTATGAATGGAGATGCCATGGCATAAAAAGACGCTTTAGTAAACCTAAACACACGAAAGAGCACATCAAGAAGGATTCTAACAGATATTTTGACGAAAAACTCTGAAAGTAAGCAAAATTTAAGCTCTAAACGTTCAAGAGAGTACAGGAGTTCTCGATCGATACGATCCAGGATAAATATGTCAAAATCCAAGATTGCTAACGTAATTCGTCAACCATGATATTAATAGGTAATCAAATGGTATGCTCGTGAAATTCCATGCCGCATTTTCTCTTGGACATAAGTCTTTAATTAACAATTATTCCACGAGTGCGTGTTTATATGAGACTCCTACGAAATATCGAGAATTCTCTCCGACGCGTACAGTTACCATATTTGGAGAGCATCGTATAAATGGCTCATATACCATGATGGCTAAGCCAATCAGGAATCTAGAATTATTTCATTATCCAATGATTCAGTTTTAGCTGTTCGATATTCATCCTCTTCTAACACGTCACCTAGCCTGAGATACTATGAAGTAAGCTAAAGTTAGTGTACTACTAACTGCCTCAGCCGTTTTTATAAAGTGGCAAAAGTTTAGATAAGGGGCACTTTGGTTTATTAAACACAAACCTTTTTCCATGTTACCGTGAGATGAAATCATTGAATCTTGATGAAAAGAAAGAGTCAAACTCGTAGAGGGGAATATTTTGCATTGGACATGCTCAGTGTATAAACTTTAAACATTTTGATTTTATAAACAAAAAGGCTGGGAAAACATTAATAAAAATCTATTTAAATTCCTAAGCTTCAGTGTACTTCCTTTAGTGTCCAATATAGAGGGACTTTTGCCTGAATGGGTTCCCTTCTTTGGGCTTCAGGTATATAAAATTGGCCGGGACTTCACGAGTAAAAGTATTTGAAAGGGTAAGGGAATCTGTCACCTACCCCGGCGCGTAATGACTATTTCTTATAGCTTGTTAAGTTCTCCGGTATTATATTCCATTGCATTGGTGTAATTAAAGTAATGCATTTATTACTGAATGGGAGATTTCGGAGCCATCCATTGCATTTTGCAGATCCCTAAAACAATGTTCGACAAACAAACTGTCGCACTCGATCGGATGATGACTAAATATAACGTCCAAGTCATTACCTTTCTCACAATGAGTTCCATTCCTTCCGTCCGGGCACTCACATACCATGTCATTTTTATCATACAGTGGCCGACATGTTCCGCCATCTTGGCAAGGAAAACTCTCACATGGGCTCTGAGATTCAATTGCAAAGAACAACTACTCAAATATGCGACAGTGGGCTGTCATACACACTTCGCGTCTGTGACGACTGTGATTAGGTTTTCAGAAAAATATCCTACGAGCAGGGGTTTCTCTCTTGCATGGCTTTTAGAGTTTACGAAGTCGTTCGCGTGCTTGTCTGTCGCGTGGTTACTTTAGTTTGTTTACGCCCCGTGGTTAGTTTCTCTCAGGGCGTAAACGAACTAACCACGCGACAGACAAGCCACGCGAACGACTTCGTAAACGATAAAAGCAATGCAATAGAGAAACCTCTGTTCGCAGGGTACAGAAACAAACCAGCAAAAAATAACCGATTGGTGTATTCCTAGAGGGTTTTCGTGTACCAACCAGGGTAGCCTGTGTACATCCGCCCCCTCCGGCCCCTCAAAAACAAAATCTCCCGGATTTCTTTTTAGAGGAGACGGCGGCTGTACCCAGGCTAAAGATACACTATCGCAGTTTAATTTCAAATTTAGTTTTGAATTTGAGCGGAGACCAAACGAGTTGTATTCATTCAGTAAACCAGTAAAAGAGCTTCGTTCATCATACCGCAATAGTGTAGTGATGAAAGTGGTCACTCTGTACGAAGGCAGTGGAGTGGTTGTACTTGTCTGTAGCTAGCAATTGGCAGAAGTGAAGTGTGGAGCTGCTGTTAGGCAAAATGGCATAATTGAATGACAAGCATGCCACGTTAGCAAGGCATTGGAAACCACAGTCGGTGTAGTCGTTGACGTTGACAAAGGACAAAACTTGGGAAATATTCAGCATGTGATTGAGAAATTCTTTAAAGTTCCCAAAGTGTAGGTTTTTCTGTTCGGACCTTTGGAGCTGTTTAGTTTAAAAGGAAAATAAAATTTCACTTTAAATATCATCAAATACATGAAAAGCCCTGAGGGGAGTGGATAATATGATATTTACATTTTCATTTACACTTTACATTATTCAAGGCCTTTTTTAAGAGCTTAAGAACTTAAGTTTGAAGACCTAGAAATTTCAGGCAGCAAATTAAGAAATCGAAATGAACATTTTCAACTTGTTACGACCTTTGTCTAAAGTTACTTTTATGATCAGAATTGCGCAGAATTACCTTACGAAAGTATGGAAAATTATTTTCGTGACTGGAAAGGATAGATCCCTTTATCCAGCTGTCTTTTTCATATCTACAACAGTTCATTGCCGGTGATTCCAACATTCATGTTGACATTTCCAGTGACTATGATAGTCAAAAGGTTTTGGAGGTTCTCTATTCTATGGGTTCACTTTGACAGCAATTACACAACCTAGTCACATGGGCGGCCATACTCTTGACTTGATCATCACGTGTGAATTTGATCATATCACGGGATCTACACCTACACCTGATCATTTTCTGTCGGATTATAAAGCCATTTTGTTTAGCATCAATACTCCTAAGCCTCCGTTGGCTGTAGAGAATCTACGTTATTAAATTACTCGCCAGATTAATGTCCAGTCTCTTATGAGTGATTTTTCTGCTTCTCGGTTATGTGGAAATATGCCTCATCAGCTTAATGATTTGGTTTACTGCTATATTACCACACTGTCTGATTCAATTGAGCACCATGCATATGCTCCGCTTAAGTCACGCAAAGATAACAATAAGACCTGATATACCCTGGTTTAATGATGAAAAGCTGAAAGGAAATGACGACAAACTAACAAAGATTCTGATCTGTGCTACTTTAACGCCCTGACCGAACAGGTACAAATTTTATAGTAAAAGGGCCGCTTAGAATGTATTTCTAGAGATCCAAGAGTACTCTATAGATAGCCTAAAAAGTGTTTTCAACGTATTTAGGAGGAAATCGTCGTTGGGTGCCTCTGACTGGAGCAGGGTACCTTTCCCGATATATGGAAAGAGGATATTGTAATACCCCTAATAAAGAAACCTAGCCTAAGCTCTGAGTGTAAAAATCTTTGCACAATTAGCAACCTGCTGTCTTATGTGTCGGAGCGGAACGCTCAGGTTTAAACCACATGCATCGTCATTTATGGCAGTCTTGCAGTACCCATTATATCAATCTGAATATCGCCAACGCTATAGTACAGATGCAGCCTTGTTGAAGGTAGCTAATGACCTTTCTTTAAACATGAATTCACAGCATGTTACTCTATTATTATTATTAAATCTAAGTGCCGCCTTTGACACTGTCAACCATGAAATCTTAGTAAGGCGCTTGAATACTAACTTTGGCGTGCGAGGAAAGGTTCTCCTACACGAGCTGACATATTGAATTTGTGTCAAAAGGAGGTTAAATGATAAATTTAAAAAAAAGGAAGAAACAGCGTTCAGTACGATATCTAGGCATCGAGAAATTAATATAAAAATGGGGGAAGCGCAATCGGGGATTTTTTTTTACCAATTTTGAATACTTGATAGAATTATTTGTGTGAAAATTTTGGAATGATCAAAAATTCTAGAAGACGCAAATTAGTAACTGATATTCAAACTTTCTTCACGGCTCCTGACGTCCTTTGTTTTCTTTCCATGAATTATTGCTAAGTTCGAGGAACCACCTTCATGAATACAACTTAACCATTTAGACAAGCTGACAGGTGAAAGTTGCCCGGCTAGTAGCTACGCAGGCCTTTCAACAATGTCCTATTAGCAGAAATTTCAATTGATTATTAGAATTATCTAAAAGAAACATACTTTTAAAGCTCCGTGGTACTCTTGCTATCATCTCCAACGTAACAGTTTTTATTTTGTTATTAAAATAATATATATATTTTTGTCATAATGAGGCGTTCAAGCCCTTATGTGTTTTCATATTTGCTCTTAGAAAGATCAGCTTTTCTCGGAAAGATCATCAAACTCCTAGTTTAGAGGGTCTATGCCGGGCAGCCTCAAGATCTAAAACTAAATTGCTATCGAGAGCAAGGGCTCTGGGATTAGCGTTGAATAGCAGCGAAAAATTTCAAATGTGCAAATTCCATAATATTCCAGCGAATTATGTTCATCAAGCATTGCTATGTATGCTGGCTACCGTTACCCAGATCTTGCCTGTACCAGATTCCTTCAAGTTATTAAAGATAATTTATGGGTATAAATTCGATTCTTTTTTTCATATTTATTCTCCGTTTTCAATAGGCTATAATATACCTTCTTTCTTTTAGATCCTTCTTAGTGATACATGTCTTCAGCAAAAAATGTTGAGTCAAGAGCTTACATATTGAATAATTGTCAAAAAAGAAATTGAAAATACAAGAAGGAAGAGCGTTCGGTACGATATTCGATATTTCGGCATCGAGAAGTTCATCAAACTTGGTGGAAGACTTCAATTTATACGCAATTATTAATGAGAAAGGAAATGGTAAGATACGCCAATTTAATGCCATGCTTTTAATTATTAAATATTTTTCCTCGAAGTTATTAGAGATAATTTACGAGTAGTCCATAGCCCATGTAAATAGACACAGTGCAAAACAATTATAACAATCTGAAACTCAAAACTTGACAACTTGAAGCGCAAGTTGGACTTAAGGTGACAAGAGCTTTTTACTCGCAAGATTTACATGATTAAAAGTGCAATATAACTCGAATAAACGTCTGTGTAGTCACGAATAGGCTCGGAACAAACCGTAAGGAAAAATTGCTCGTGTTGATGAAAACATTGTCATTAAGTTTTCCGTTAACAACAACGACAACAATGAACAACTTTATTTTCTACTGTGGATAGATAACTAAAAGAATATACAAGAAATATAGTTAAATAACAATAATACTTCTCGTTAAAACTAGTTGGGTGACAATCATTAATTATAATAGGGACCTATTCAGCTATGGAATTGTTTTTAAAAACGTATCGCTCAGAGTCAAACGAACCCCCAAAACGCACTTTCGGAAAGCGTTACCGCAATCAACTGCTGCTGAGTTCGGCTTAAAATCAACTGATGAGGCATTCCCATTCGTTTCATAAACTTTAAAACACTCAAAACCTTGCTCTAAATTAAATCGAATGTTTTTGTTCTCGATATTTCTGAATCCGCACAATATTTCTATGCCTGAATCGGCCTTACTTCCATTCACATAAAACCAGTGAAGCCGCTCAGCTCCAGAGTGTGACTGTGTTTGGTTGTTGTTGCTTTATTTTATTTATTCATACATTTTTTTGTTGAAACCGAGTATTTTACCCACGAATCTGCTGAAACTGTATACGAATATTTAGTTCCACAATTCGTGCGGTAGTTGTGTCAGGTTTGGAATCACCCAAAAAGAGAAGCTAAAGAGAATTATAAATTAGAAAATGTCGGTTTTCAATTTTGCTGGCGCTTATTTCCAAACTTGAATTGCACACATGGAAATCAATTTTTGATACCCCAATTTGTCAGTTTAGAAATATCCAGATTGTGGAATTCTTTACACATTTAATTGGTTGGAAAAAAATGTGTGCATCTATAACGGCTTCGAGGCCAACCTCGTGTTAGACGACTCTAGATCTCTAGATTCTAGGTTTGACCAGGGCTTACAAGTGCCTCCGTGGTGGGACAACATATCAAATGCCATCGAAGAAGAGTGTGTATTCTTTATAATCGTCCCAAAATATCTAGTTCCTGAGTCCTCCTCAGTAACGCGTTCTGAATATTCACAAACAATTTCAACGCTGAATTCAGAAGGACTCTCTCGTTCGAGACTGCTTCACAGATTTCTCTTGAAATTTTGTAGCACATCCCAATTATATCAATAAAACTTGATACCCGACATTTCAGGCAAAGCATAACAGCAAAGTTTTTCACTAGACACGATTTTCTTGAAAAAGTGGGCTTTGCTAAATATAACTATGCAAAAAACATATAATTATATATCATAGTGTAAATCGAATTCCTTTATGTAATTGCTATCTATCAGCAGGTATCTCAGAGTTTCGTAGCCTTTAAACCAAAACAGCTTTGAGACCGAAGATTGTCGTAGATCCCTGCTTCTAAAATAACAATGGAACCACCTCAAAGAACCTTTTTTTGTTTTGTTTTTGTTTTTCTTTTGTTTTTGTTTTTTTCATCGTGTTTTAGCCAAAGAAATAAGTCTGTATTAAAGCATAAAATGTTTGCCTAGAGACATAGATTTCTTTCATGCATCAAACAGGAAGAATGATAAACTAAACCCTGAAAAATTGCAGGGCTGTTTTTTCATTGAAACGTTTAGTGGCCCTTTATAATCTGGATTTCATCCGACATCTGTTAGTTGTAGCAAACTCGAACTTAACCTACATTAAAGATGAACTTTTAGTGGCTTTTAATATATAAAAACACTTCTATTCACTACTTATCTTTTCAGTTTTGACGAATGATAATAGCTCACCTGTGCATTATATTTTGAGATGTGGATAAATGCAATAAAAGTAAGAATGATCCAAGCGATTGCTACCTTCAGCGACATTTCCTTGGAAGTATTCAAACGTTGGCACCAGTTTTTCTGAATTGGAATCAGGCACATTTAAGGCGTGAAAGAAATTAATATAAAGCCAAAAGTTCCTGAAATTTGATCCACGGTGTGGCTTATATTTAATAAATTTTAGTTTAGAGTTACAATAAACAGGAACTTTAAACAACAGTTCCACGATGCAATTCTATTAGCGAGAAATGGTCGAGGCAACCTGCTAGTCGCTGTTTCCGACAAGAAGAATTGTAAAAACGTTATTTGCTTGAAAATGAAAAAAAAAAATTAAAAAAACAGTCAGTAATTCGTTCAGAAGGGAATCAAGTATATATTCTTTTGAAATATGAAGTCGACATGATGCATGCACCTAAATGTTCTTCTCATGGGTCCTTGTATAATGAATGTCGTGTCCTCGATCTCTTTGAAAACAATTTAGCTTAATTTTTAACCAACGCGCCTTCACCAAAATTCCCGCCCTCTTTGTGTTTTGATTACGCTGTTGCAGACAAACCATGTTGAATGAAAGTTGCTTTGTCATTAATATTGGTTACCCTGAATTTAACCATCCAACTATTTGGGACAGATTCATTTTGGCCGTTGGAATGATATGCATCTAACACAATTTAAAATTCCAGCGGGCAAATGCGACCACTTAACGGATATGTGCTGTAAATGAGAAATGATTCCAGCCTTAAATTGCTAACAGCTGTTTTTCTTCATCACTAATTTTGCGTATAATTTTGGAGTGGTTTGAAGTCGTCGTTGTGGTCGTCGTCGTGGTTGCTTAAGCTCCCTAATAACTCGCTCCCACGTTCGATATATTAAAATTCTAACATGACTCCGAGGTTTTCTGGTCATTTTTCTATATTTGGTTTGGTTTTCTTTGTCTTCAAGTCTCTTCTAGGAATTGCGAGACAGTGGGGTCGTAAAAACTTTGCAATTTTGACCCTAAGAAAAAAAAAAAAAAGGAAACCCATCAGTTTAAAATCGTAATTTTCACAGCTTATCAGCAAAAATTTGTAAAATAAGTAATTGTAAATTTCGCTACAGTAAAACGTGTCACCCTGAGCGTAAGTGAATCTAGTGATATATAGAACCTTTATTTTTCCACTTAGTCAATTTATATTAAACAAAAAAGTTCAAACACGAGCTGACATATTGAATTTGTGTCAAAAAGGAGTTAAAATGGTAAATTAAAAAAAACGATACACGAAGAAACAGCGTTCAGTACGATATCTAGGCATCGAGAAACTAATTTAAAAAGGGGAAGCGCAATCGGGGATATATATATATTTTTTTTACCAATTTTGAATACTTGATCATCTCCGACGTAACAGTTTTTATGTTATTATTATTATTATTGTTATTATTATTATCATTATTATTATTATTATTATTATTATTATTATTATTATTATTATTATTATTATTGGTTCATAAGGAGGCGTTGAAGCCCTTATCTTTTCATGTTTGCTCTTAGAAAGATCAGCTTTTCTCGGAAAGATCATCAAACTCCTAGTTTAGTGGGTCTATGCCGGGCAGCCTCAAGATCTAAAACTAAATTGCTATTGAGAGCAAGGGCTCTGAGATTAGCGTTGAATAGCAGCGAAAAATTTCAAATGTGCAAATTCCATAATATTCCAGCGAATTATGTTCATCGAGCATTGCTATGCTCGCTACCGTTACCCAGATCTTGCCTGTACCAAATTCCTTCAAGTTATTAGAGATAATTTATGGGTATAAATTCGATTTTTTTTTTATATTTATTCTCCGTTTTCAAAAGACCATAATGTACCCTCTTTCTTTTAGGTCATTTCTCCGATTTGAGTCGAGAGCTTTACATATTGATTAACTGCCAAAAATGAATTTGAAAATACGGGAAGGAAGAGCGTTCGGTACGATATTCGATTTTTCGGCATCGAGATGTTCATCAAACTTGGGCGATAGAAGACTTCAATTTATACGAAATTATTAACGATAAAGGAAATGGTAAGATACGCCAATTTAATGCCATGCTTTAATATTTTTCCTCGAAGTTATTACAGATGATTTCTTGGTAACCGATAGCCCATGTAAATAGACACAGTGCAAAACAATTATAACAATCTGAAACTCAAAACCTGACAACTTGAAGCGCGAGTTGGACTTAAGGTGACAAGCGCTCTTTATCTCCTCGCAAGATTTACATGATTAAAAGTGCAATATAACTCGAGTAACGTCTGTGTAGTCACGAACAGGCTCGGAACACACCTTAAGGAAAAATTGCTCGTGTTGATGAAAACATTGTCATTAAGTTTTCCGTTAACAGCAACGACAACAATGAACAACTTTATTTTCTACTGTGGATAGATAACTAAAAGAATATACAAGAAATATAGTTAAATAACAATACTACTTCTCGTTAAAACTAGTTGGCTGACAATCATTAATTATAATAGGGACCTTAAGCAAGGACGACGACGACGGCAGGGAAAATGACAGTAAAAAAAATGAATTTGCGTTCTTTCAAACTTAATCGCGTCTATTTGGATCCGCTCAAAATGTCAAATGCAGGCTACTTTTACTGGAGTCGAATTCTTAAGGATTTTATTCAGGCTCAAAAAGATTAAAGGAAATTCGTCGTAGTATGTCCACGTCCTCCATAAAGCGTCAAATTAGCAGTTTTCACGTCGTAGTCGTGCAGTGAACGTCAATGAAATGTACTAAAAAGCGTGATGCGAGTGCAGAGCTATTGTTTTGATCATTAAACCTAATTGTTTTTTTGAAGTCGTCGTTGTGGTCGTCGTCGTGGTTGCTTAAGCTCCCTAATAACTCGCTCCCACGTTCGTTATAACAGGATTACGAGGTTTTCTTGTCATTTTTCTCAGTATATTTGGTTTGGTTTTCTTTGTCTTCAAGTCTCTTCTGGGAATTGCGAGACGGTGGAGTCGTAAAAACTTTGCAATTTTAACCCTAAAACCTCGTAGTCATGTTAGAATTCAGTTTAATAGATCGAAAGTGAGTTATTGAAAATGCGCAATGGCTTAAGAAATACATGGATAATACACATACTAAATAATGTAAAATTGGTTCACAATTATACATCTATATAAACAAAACAGAAAAAAAGAAGTTAAAAGAATTTGTCAAGTTTTCAGTTCACATTACCAAGTTCTCCTTGACAATTCTTCCCTTGCGTTTGAAGATTTCGGGAGTAATATTAACGTCTTAAAAATATTTAGAAACTCCGCTGAATACAGATAAATGGAAATTGTGTATCAAAAAGGCTGCCA